GGCTTGAGCCACCAGCGCCCAGCTCAGACTCTTTTTGCTCAGAGTATTTTTAAAATAGGGACTCAGCTTTTGCCCAAGCTGGCCTGAATCATAATCTACTCTTTATGCTATAGCTGAGATGACAGCATATATTACTCCATTCTGCTTTTTGAGCTGAAATGAGGTTTCAGTGCCTAGAGCCACAATACTTCCAATCAAAGCTTCCCAAGTAGCTAGAATTACAAGTATAAGGCCCTAGTGCCTAGCAAGTCTATGAATTTGTTGATATTCTTCTAACTTACCCTTTTCTCTTGCGTTAAATTTCAGCTTCTCACAAACAACAATATAATACAGTAGCTTTTACATACAAATGTATTTGGTTTTGTTGCTGCTGTTATGTTTTGTCTGATCAACTCAGTGATAAGAAATAAATACAGCCATGAAACTCAATCAAAAACATCAGTTTAGGGAAGATGACTGTGTGTTTCAATTAGCTAAATTAGCCAATAAGAAAAAACAAACAAACAAAAGGAAAACAGAGGATCTTTGTTCTCACTCTGGTCCTCATTTCAGGACCACACATTTTTAACACAGATGTGTTGACTCCTTTTAGCTGCATTTTAGAGAAAGGCATTTAAGGAGTACAAGAATTAGCTATTAATGATCTAGGCATCATCTACCCATACTCATGTCTCCATCCATGACACAAACCACACAAAGTACAAGTTTACCATCTGAGTCTGTTGTGATTAGAACTCATTTATCATCATATGTATTGAGCACTGCATATGCCTGTTCAGTAAAGTCAGGCTTAGCACCAACTCCACTATAACTAGCAAGGCCTTTAAAGGTTAATAGTCTTCCCACCATCAGACACATCTACACTAGAGGTACTCCATCTTATTCCTAAAGTTTTCCTGTTAGAAGATTCACAGCAAATTTATTGGGAACAAAAATAAATGAGGAGGAGGAGGAGGAAGAAGAGGAGGAAGAGGAGGATGGGAATTAGCTTGATAAGATCCTTAGTATTAACTGAAACATGAAAATGTAATCATATGTAAAATTTCATCAAGAATCACAAGTTACTTTTCTTTCATGTACATTTGAGTTAATTGGTGCTACTCAAATTAAAAACAAATTAATTGGCTCAAGAGGCTATAGAAGTGCTATGGGTATGGCTCAAGCTTGCTTGGCAAATGCAAGGCCCTGGGTTCAAACCCCAGTACTGGGGAGTGGGGTGAGGGAGGTGGGAGGGGAGGGGAACAGGTACAGAGAATGAGATTCCTGCTACATTATAACAAGTAGTCATTAAATTTCATGTCAGTATAGGCTGCCATAGACACATTCTGCTTGTCTGGGCTCTGACAATTACCAAAGCCAGAGGATCTACCTGTGCAAAAGCACATCTCTGCATCACAAAAAAAGCAGGTGTTGAATTTCCTTCTTCCATCCCTCATAAACAGTAAAAAACAGTACTGTTACTTTCTTCTCCTTAAAAGGGACACAAAGCTTTAAACAGTAAACTTCTTGAAGGTAAAAACCTCTTTTCGTACTATGTCCTGAATTCAGTGCCCACTAGGGTTCCCTCTCCCATGGGTGTTGCCAACTGACCCAAGCTCCACCTGAATAGTCATTCCAAAACAGACAGGCATAACATCTAAACAGCTGGCTCTGAGCCTCCCTAAGCTAGAAGATTTCTATAACATTGTGAAAATGATTAAAGAATGTACCCTTCATTATTATGCATAAGAAAAAATCTGACTCACATAGAGATGGAAAGAAAAGAGAAAATTTAAGCAACTAAGCTGGAAGCCCCATTTTCCTATTCAGAGTGGGTTAAACAGGCTGACATGCTCTTGCTGTATTCATAAGAACCAAGTTTCTCAAGGAGCATGTTCCTGCCATGTCCTAATTCACAGGGTGAACAGGGAGATGCTTTAACTTAGGTCTATGTGGATGCTATAGCCTGAGGTAAATCCAGGACAAGAGCATACAGTTCTGTCCTCGACCCTTCTCAAACATGGCACAGAGAAACACAATCTCAACACCCTCCATCACTCACAAGTAATTATAGAAAGGAGGCAGGTTTAGGTTGAAGCTTAAAATACTCAAAAGTCAGCAGAGACCACTAGAGAATGTCTATGATCCTAACTAGTACTCAGGAAGCTGAGATCTGAGGATCAGGTTTTGAAGCCAGCCTGAACAGGAAAGGCTCTTATTTTAGGCTCTTATCTCCAATTAGCGACCAAAAAAAAAGGCAACTACCAACCTTGAACAAAAAGGTAAAGTAAGAGACAAGCCAGGTGCTGGTGGCTCATGCCTATAATCCTAGCTACTCAGGAGGCTGACATCTAAGGATCTTGGTTTAAATCTAGCCTAGGCAGGAAAGTCCATGAGACTCTCAACTCCAATTAACAACCAGAAAACCGGAAGTAACACTGTGGTTCAAAGCACTAGAGTGCTAGCCTTGAGCACAAGAACTAAGGGACAGTGGTCAGGCTCTGAGTTCAAGCCCCACAACTGAGCAAGAACAAAAAGGGACAGCACTCAGGCCAAGTTCAAGTCCCACACATACACATACTCAAGCAAGCACACACACATACTCAAAAGTCAAAATTAGTTTTCACTGCTAGCTATTAGATTTAGTAGGACTATTTTTTCCACAATTAAGCATGTCATATGCCCAAAATGTATTAATTATTGAGAAAATTATTAGCACATATTAACTGTACAAAGGAGTTTTGTTGCAGTATTTACATATATGCGTATGATATACTTTGATTAAATTCACCCCCTCTATTACTCTTTCATACACCTTATGTTTTTAAACAACTTTAAACCACTTGCATTACTCTACTTGTATACTATTTGTATACACAAAGTAATCTGATCACATTCACCCACTCTCACCTCTGGCATCTACCCCCAATTAGTCCCCCAACAAAACATAACACAGAAAGTTGGAACTCATTTCTGTAAGTATTTGCTTGCCTACTATGTGTAAGAAAGTTATTCTATCTTAAGAGAAAATAAAACTAACCCATCTCAGGAATTGCTGGTTTTACTTCTGATTCTATATCATTATATCTTTAGAACATATTTTAGTCTATAGTATAATCAGATACTAGGAATAGTATAATAAGGGTTACTGATAATTGTACAGTAAATGCTTCCAGTGTAGAAAAAACTCAGCAGGTGATATTTCAAATAGGATTGAGTACCAGCATGTGCTATTCTATTTATTTTTCATTTTAAACCCATCCACCCAAACATACCTCTTATTTATATGTGTAAAATTTATATATTTATACATAACATATAAAAACATTCACAGACAAGCATTCATGCATTCTTTTTTTTTTGGGGGGGGTCCGGTTGTGGGGCCTGAACTCTGGGCCTGGGTGCTGTCCCTCAGCTCTTCAGCTCAAGGCTAGCACTCTACCGCTTGAGCCACAGCACTACTTCCAGCTTTTTTCTTTTTGCTTATATGGTGCTGAGGAATCAAACCCAGGGCCTCAGGCATGCAAGGCAAGCACTCTACCACTGAGCCACCTTCACAGCCCTAGCATTCATGCATTCTTGACTCCAAAATCTATTTATTTTGGAAGCCAGAATATGAATTTAAATATTCACTAAAAAGACACTACTCGGTTCTCTCCATGGCTGGCAGTAAGAAGAGAGATAATGTCAAATTTTGAAGGTCTGACTGGGAAATAGAAACAATGCAATGAAAGGGGGAGGAGGCAGTGTTTGCCTTGACCTTGTTTTAAGTTTCCCAACTCTCAAAAAACAACTAGAACCAGTCTCTAGTAATATGGCAGCTCTTGATTGAATGCAGTTAAGGTGAAGTATGGAGCATAGTATCTCTAAAGTCGTGCCAACTTTAGAGACTTCTTATGTGAGACCCACAAACATCTGGACCCAAATCAGAGCAAAATTTCATGGAAGTTCAGAATCAAGAAGATCTAATCTTAAACCTGGCACTGCCACTATTCTATTATGTGACCAGGGGTAAGCCAGTTTGAAGGTATTAATAGTTATCCCAAGGGTGTTGCTATACAACCAAATTACTTCCTGTGTGTAGCTGGTATATAAAAAAGGTACATTAATACAACAAAGATGACCAACAATACTATCTGGTTTCTACTCAAGAGGATTTCAGAAAAGATAACAGTAAGTTTAAAGTCTCTCTGAGAGCACCATTTTAATCCACCTTGGGTCTTAATCCAGAAAAGCACTAGAATTGAATAGAATTGCCAGAATGAGGTATAATTTTGGCCGAGTTGCTACTTTAACCCAAGACTCCAAGTACCTCCAACTTTCTCTAAGGACTAATTTTTAGGTTCCCTTCCTGAACAGCCTGATATTGAAGCATTTAACCATCAGACACTCAGCTTGGTCACTATCTACTGTTCACTGCCTCTTGGAGAAATTAGCTAATATCTAGGTCAAGATGACTTGATATCATATAACTGAATCCTTAGTATCTTATTACCAATGCATATGGTTTCTGCAACCATACTGTTTATAGCTTTCTTGTTATTCTAGGAAAGGACCACTTGAAAGATTACAAACTTCTAAAATAGACATATTATTTATTTGATAAGTTTTTCATAGCATCCAGCAAAGCAATGATAATGAGGCTTAGGAGAAGAAACTATGATGAAAGAGGTCACAAATTTGCATGTAATTATTTCATATTTATCCCTAATGAAGACCATATAGAAAACCTATTTCTAAATAAACAAAGCAAACTTGTTTCTAAACTGGTTCTTTCATTTCCTCCAAAGAAAAATAGATCATTTTTAACTTATGCTAGAAATGAGATACCCCAAAAAAGCGTAATCTAGACACTTTGAGATATGTTAAGATCATTATGTCTCCCTCAATGATACCTTAGACACTCAAATTTGTAATCCTTAGTTCCTTAGACTAAGTGAAAAGGCAAATCATTGTGTTCACAGATGTCCAAATATGAAATGATTATTATTAAAATGTATTAAGACTATAAGGTATCCTACCTCCTTGAAGTTATCAAAAGCTGATAAAATTATTTCATGGCCGCCTCTGACCAGACAAACAGCTGCCAATAGCTCTAAAACAAGGGCTTTTGTCCTGTTAAAGCAAGAAACAAAGAGAAAAATACAGATCAGTGGAAATACCATGATGAGTTATCTACTTGGGAATATGTGGAGAGAACACTGGTTAAACTGTGGTTTTAGAATAGGAGCTATTAGCAGGAAAATCAAGATAAAGTAATGTTTTACATTTTAAATCTGCTCACTTGCAGATGGTCCAGAAAAATCCCATATGACAATACAAGTTTTTATCATTTCTTCTTTTTATTCAGGAGATCTGAAAAATGCTGGATTGCAGCTGTACTAATAAAAGAATTATTTCCTCTGACTCAAGAATATAAAACTCCATCTGAAATATTTTGGAAGGAGGACCTACAGATGCATTCTAAATTTACAAATACAATGTTGAAAGAAACAACATGGTTTGTTCATCATAAGACTGAGTATTTCATCTTTCTTCGGGAATAAAAACTATTGCCAACTTCTTAACAATGACTGTTCTGATATTCTACAATGTCAATAATATTTCTTAAAAAAATGAATCACTTCCCTGCAGTGTAGAGCAGGGACAAAAACACATGGCTATGTAGAATTTTAGTAAACTAAGGAAATTACTTCAGAATTGTGAAAGGTTTCATCAAGGAAAAGTTTGAAAGAATACTATTCAATATTTAAATAAGACTTTATAGTTTATACTTCATTCCAAATCAAATGTTTAACTTATAATCAGATTTTGTGATTAATTAACAGTTGTCAGATAACACCATTTGTAGAAAATTATCTGATAAAAAGAAATTATGCAATTGAAATGCAAGATATCTCATCTATATGGAAAACATAATCACCAAAAGCTATTGATGAGGACAGGCTTGTAAATGTAATCTGTGAGGCAATTCATACTACGTGATGCTGGCTTTTATAGAAAGGAAATCTGCACATACAATTATTTGTGATTCCTTTTCTGTTTGGTAACTAAAGCTATGTACATTAGGATAGCAGCTGAATTAATGATGGTTTTAGTCAATTTTCAGTATTAACTAATCAGCTAAATCTTTTTCTTCTAGTCTTCCAAGTCTGGGCAAGCTTGTAAATTAGTCCTCTCCATCAAATTTAGCAGCAAGTATTCTAAGAATTAGCCTTGAAGGGAAAGAACACTTAAAAAAAAAAACAAGGAATGGCTAGTATTATCTTCGGGTGCTCAATTCTACTCTATGTAGAAATGTAATTTGACAAGAAAATATTCTACATAGCCAAAGTTATAGCTAGTCTTGTGTTTATGAATATGTGCATGTATCACACACACACACACACACACACACGCACACACACCAGTGCTAGGGTTTGAACATAAGGGCTGGCTGCTGTACCTTAGCTCTTTCTTTTTTTTTGTTCAGTTGTGGGGCTTGAACTGTGGGTCTGGGCACTGTCCCTGAGCTCTTCAGTTCAAGGCAAGTGCTCTACCACTTGAGCCAAAGTGCCACTTCTGGTTTTCTATGGTTAATTGGAGATAAGAGTCTCACAACCTTTCCTTCCTAGGCTGGCTTTGAACCATGATCCTCACATCTCAGCCTCCTGAGTAGCTCGATTACAGCCATGAGCTACCAGTGCCCAGCTGTACCTTAGCTTTTTCTACTCAAGGGTAGTATTCTACCACTTAAGTCATACCACCACTTCTGGCCTTTAGCTGGTTAAATGGAGGTAAAGAGTATCAAAGACTTTCCTGCCTGGGCTAGCTTGGAACTGTGCTTCTCAGATCTCAGCCTTCTAAAAAGCTAGGATTATTGGTATGAGCCACCAGTTCCTAACTAATTGCCAGTCTTATTTCAGAAAAAACATGCACAGAAGTTTCTAAATTCTAATTGGGGTTCTCTGTTTCCCCACTGATATTTAGACTTCATATTACACAGAATGCTTTACCTGGGGTTCTTGTTGTTCAGGCTTAGTGCAATCTCATTGACAGCATGTGGATGAGACATGACCATGTTGAAACCATACTGAAATGTGGCAAAGAACAACAGCATTAGTAGGTATGTAAAGACACTGTAAATGTAGAAATCTGGGTTGGAACATGGCTCAAAAGCATAAAACGTCTACCTCATCTGGCTTATATAATCATAAATGCAGTTATTATATCACTATTAGATCAGTGTCGCAATATATTTGCCTATCAAAAACTTCAAAATTATTGGTGTACTTTGTATATATGAAAATACTACATTGAAGCCTATGATCTAAAAAGGAAGAGATAGGATGAAGGGAAAGAAGGGGTATAACTGATTGGATACATTGTATGCCTGTGTGAAAGTATAACAATGAACACCCACCCCTTACACAACTAATGTTTGCTAATAAAAAGACTAATAAAAAGAGATATCATATGTTTAAAAATTTCAAGAATGATGTCAATTATCAAGGGCATCTTGATCAAGGGCATCTTTCCCATTATTTATGAATGAGCTACATGGTTTCCTTATTAAAATAATGAGAGTCCTACCCTAGCAAATTTCAGCTCCGTGCTCATTAACTTACTTCAAAGACTAAAGAAAACAAAGTAGTGATTGATTCTCTAAGGTCCATCCCAGGTCAATTTATTCTGAATCTCAATGACAGAGCCCTGGAATCTGAATTTTGTCATTTCCAGGGGTGACAATCACTGTATCTAGTCCCTTCTATGGACAAAGCCTGTCTGCATCAAGGGTCTAGAATGCTGGCTTTGATTTGAGGTAGAAAGTGCTACTTCACCATTTTACAAAGGAAGGAAGTCAACAGGAAGAATATTGATTTTGCTAAGTTGAAGAACTATCTGATATTCTAAACTCACTCATCTTATAATCTTATTTCTTCTGACATTGAGAAAACATATGCAATTTGTATTTAAAAAATATTTTTGGAAGCTGCAGCAGGAAGATAATAAGTTATTAAGGCCAGCCTGGTCCACATAGCAAGACCCTATCTCACGAAGGAAAATAAAAGGCAAACAAACAAACAAACACCTTCCTAAAACTATTGAACTACTACCATACCAATCCACATACATAGACCTGTGGCTCACCCCTTCTTCCCAAAGATAAACTGAGTCCTTGACCTTGACTTCATCCCCTTCCACCTACTTAAGAACATTACGTGATACAGAAATTCCCAAACTCCAGGATTTTACCATCTGATTGATTTACTTATCACCATTAGTATAAAACATGAATCAAATGCTCAATGCTCTTATATGAATTAGCAACAAGGCCCTCTCTTGACATTGTAGCCTATGTCCAGCTACTGCCTCTGCCTCTCATTGTTCAACCATACTTTAAAAGAAAGATACACCCAAACACAGGGGGCTTCTGCTGCCTTTCCAGAGTATCTGAAGTCCCTCTTCCTGTTTCCTCAGAAATGACTCCCATGAGGCTTTCATCTGCATCACTCACCTCAAGATGTTCTTCCCCAGACAGCCCATGGCTGAGGCCACTGGCCAAGCCTCGCTCTTACTCAGCAGCAGTATCTGACCAAGCTGAGCAAACCTTTCACCTTGAAGCATACCATTCTACTTCTCAAGTTCTCCAGACAGATTCTCCTCTTCTCTGACATTTAAACAAGTACACCTCAGAACTATTTTGGACCTCTCTTCTATCTACTCCTGTTCATTTCATTTCTAGATTTCCCCTACCATTTATATATTAACTACTCTTAAATTTTTATCCTCAACCTAGAACTCTGTCTTGACATCCAGATAGCTACTCACTATTCGCCAGAGATCACCATTTTGATGTCTAATTGATATCTCTCTGTTTAAAACCCCAAATGGAATTTGTAAAAATGTCTCTGAAATCTGCTCATCTTACAATCTTCCCTGTCTTAGTAGATTGCAACTCCATCTTAAAAGTGCCCAGATGGAACCACTGTCTATTCCTTACCTTCTCCTCCAGCACAAACCCAGTGCTTGTTGCCTTTCTTATCAACTTAAGTGAGAAGCTGACCAGCTTGGTCTTCTCCATCCCTATAATCTTGGTCCACACCACCATGGGCACTTACCAAAGTTACTGTGAATGCCCTCTTAAACACACAAGCCAGAGGGGTCACGGTAAATGCAAATTATTAGTTTTCTATTCATAACAAAGTCAATGTCCTCTCACGGGCTTGTAAAGTCCTAGCAAGACTCTTTGTCTTCTACCCTTCTGCTTCCTCATTCTAATCCAGCCAATCTGACCTCATTTCTATGCTTGGGCAGACCAGTATCCCTATCTTTGGGCATTCTATCTACAGTCTTCTTACCCTAATCTTTCTCTTAGTTCTGTTTCACATAGTTAATGGTTCGTAAATGTTTTCTCCTTAGTGACACTTTGCTAGCTGGCCTATTTTAAGTTGCATGCAGAGTTGTAGCAATATTCCTACATCCTTTTCACTTTTTCCACAGTACTTAATAAAAGTTCTCTGAGTTCAAAGATTCCTAGATTTCGATCTTCACTCTCCCCTGTGCTTTAGAAGAATTGTTTAACTTCTCTTTGTCTCCGTTTCCTCCTAATTAAAATGGGGAATTGTAAGGCTGGCTCTCTCATGAGTTAATGGATCTGAGAACATCAAACCTATAAAAACACACAATGTGTTGTATGTTAGCTTTCTTTTCATTTCATCATTACATGATCTACAAAACTACATCTTTTACCAATTTATTTGTGCATGATCATTATCCTCTCTCTAGAATGTTCTCTTGGGCACCTATTTATGTAATCTTATATTCTTAGTATCTAGAACTGTTTGACAAAGTCATCAAAATATTAATTGGTTAAGACCAGAGTATTTACATACTTGACATCATAAACACAACCAATACATTTATGCTGGGTTTGAACACTAATAAAGATGCTACCTATGCATATATTTTTAATTTCTCCTGGACCCACCTGTGGCATCCATATAAATGGAACTCCAGCCTGATTCTTACATTTCATTCCGTTATTTCTAATTTCTACCTGTTTCTATACATGGGACATGTCAGTTCACACACTAGATGTCTCAGGCTCTTGCTTTCCACTGTGCTGTTAGAATTAACCCATCCACAAGCTGTGTTGCTTCTCAGGTGAATCAACATCTCAGCCATCAGAATGTGGCACTTCTTAGAAAGTTTAGGAACACTTTGTCCAAGAGACAACAAGTGTAACTCCTTACCCAATCACCATGTAACTGTGGAAACCATGGACTACCCATGTACCAGGCAGCTCATTCTTGTGTTCTAAGGTTGACCCTTTATTGCCCACAACCCAGAGGCAATGATCACAAACATTTACCAAGGTTTCTAGGCAAGTGAAGCATGGCAGGAAGAAAATGTCTTGTTTCAAAATACCTTATAGATTACAAATGTTAATTAAAATACAAGGACAATGAATTCAGTTTTAAGTATCAGAACTTTTTGTAAAATATATAATCTCCTAAAATCCTAGTATTTATTTCAAACAGATATAAATGTTTGAGATAATGAGACCTGAAATTTATTCATCCAGATTCTTTTAAAGGACTGAAGCAAACACATACCTGATAATTCATGATGGCTCGTAAACACATGATGCAGACATGAACGTCATCTTTCTTACTCACTAATCTTGAATTTTTCAGGGTTCTTCTGCTTGGCAAAGTATTATATCTACAAATAAACAGGGAAACTTTGACAAAAATGATCCATTACTTAGGACAGACCACATGCACTTAAAAAAATGGACGCTATTCTCAAAAATACCACCACCAAAACCTATCACCATAAAATCTACTATGAACCCCATTATATGTTGGTTTTTGTTCTGTGCTGGTCCTGGGGCTTGAACTAAGGGCCTGGGCTCTATCCTTGAGCTTTTGTGCTCAAGGCTAGCATTCACTTGAGCCACAACTCCACTTGTGACTTTTTTGGTGGTTAATTGGAGTCTTATGGGCCTTTCCTGCTTGGGCTGGAGTCAAATCGTAATCCTCAGAGCTCAGCAACCTGAGTAGCTAAGATTACAGGCCTGAATCAGCAGCACCCAGCATAAACCCCATTATGATTCTGCAGATTGGGCACCACATTTTCAGGCCAGATACCCAAAGATGATGGAAGTCAACTCCTCTCACAGCATGTAACAAATCAGACAATATGTGGCATTTAGTAATAATCCCTGGGTCTTTGTGGGCCAAGCTCAGTTTGCAAAGGTCACCTGAGGCACCATGCAGGAGGTAAGGTTTAGAATCTTACTTCCACTCACTTGACCTAATTTTCAATCTCACCTTTCAATTATGGAACATGTCAATTCACTCTGTGATATTACATTCTAAAACCTTAATAATATGCAAATGTTTCCACAGCCTGATCCCACACCAAAACTAAGAAGCCAGATGAAAATTTAGAAGGAAATTTGCCTATATTTCCTAGAACAAATGTTTGAAGGACAAGATTGATTCTATAGACTTGACATCGTAAAGCTTTCTACAGATTTATCTTAGCTTACCAGTAGTCAAGAATCTGCAATGTAACATGATGTAGCTAAAAAGAAGTAACACATCAGAGCTTCCATACAAATTTCTGAACTATTGGCTAGGAGCAAAGGTCTTCTCTGTTAACTCCAACTTTGATTTAAAAGCTTATTTCAAAAGTTTTTTAAACTATATTCCTGACAGAGTCAATGTCAGGAATACTCTACACAGTCCCCAATAGCATTCTTTCTTCTTCAACTGACCTAATTACACAAGTTAAAGGAAAGTAGGACTAACATCAACAGCTTTCAAGTCTCTAAAGCACAGAGCAGGTAAAAGCTGAATTGCAAAGACAGTCTCAAATAGATCAGCTAGACAGCTATTTTAAATCTCATGTCCCGTTCACAACCAACCAAACAGAAGCCACACAATTCTTTATAAAAGCCTATTAGTGAACCAACTTGGTTTTAGGAAAGTACTTCAGTAGGTCACACCTGCCTCAATAAAGTTGATATGTAAATATGTTTGCTCATATATATATATATATATATATATATATATATTTAGAAATAAAATTTTAGCAGTGAAAGTTCTCAATCAAAGAAGTTTGAGTTTAAGGCTTAGTAAACCCACTGCCATTTCTAAAATACAACTTTCAACATTTCACTAGAACCCCAGCCTGAGCATGAATGCTGACACTCTGCTTAGAGGTCATCCAGGTTTACACCTTAGTCCATAGCTGAAGTTCCTCCTCCTCTTCCTCTGTCTTTTGTAATTTATTTTAATCTGATTGTATTTCTTTAATGAAATCAGTTATTAAGTAAAGATAGTGTCCTTCTAGAGGGATAGTTTTCTTTCTTTTTCTGGGAGTGGGGAATAGGAGCAGAACTGAGTTTGAATTCAGGATCTCATGCTTGCCTGCCAAGCATGTGCTATGCTCTTGAGCTACACTCTGAATTGTACTCATTACTCATTACCTAACTCATGTAACTGTAACCCCTCGGTATATAAACTCTACAATAACAATAAATAAGAAAAGAAAAGAAATCAGGGCTTTAGAGGCACAAGATACCTGTATATTAGAGAGGATTTTCCTGGAGGCAAAACAAAATGAAACAAAAGCTGTCATTCATATTTTTGGAAGAGCTGACATTTATTGGAAAAATAAAGGGGAAATGTAGGGGAAAGGCTATTTGTATAGAGAAACTAACAGCATCAAAATGCTCAAGCTGTCTTCTATATCAACTTCAAGAATTGCCTGCTACTTTCTCAAGTACTGGACTAAATCTGTAGATGTTAGCATTTACAGATGAGGTCCTATCTCAGAAAAGCTGCCAATTAGGATTCACAAAGCTCTGTGAATTATGGGAAAATTATGAAGCTGATTTAAGATCACAATCAAATAGTCTTAAGCTTCATTTCCTGCATGTAGATGAGGAAATGTTTCTCTTTTGTTCTCTATTTTTCCTTATTTTAATGGTGTTATACTAAAAGTAATCATTGTTGGGGCTTTAAAAAGAAAAGGAAAGAATGCTAAATATTTGTATTAGTTTCATGCCCATTTCAGCATATGAAGTAATGGTAACTGAAGAACTCATAAGTCAGTGCCAATATGAACAATATAAACAAAAGCTAAGCAATATTTGAGAATGTATTTGTGAAACTTACACAGGATATGTCCTGCTTACTATGCCAGTTACTCATGAATGACAGTCAATCTGCCAAGAGGCACACAGCCATAATTTTAACCAGGTGGTGCCAGTAGCACATGCTATAGGGAGGCATTTCTGCTTGAAACTTCTTCAAAATGATTACTGAGGACATCCTGCCAGGCAAGCAAACCTTACGTTTTAATTCAGGAAGACAGTGAGGTGAGGCCAACAAAGAAAACCCTGAGAAGTTGCACTCTTGAATACATTTAACTGCAGAATAGATACCTAGAAATTTCTCCTGCTAACTATATGCTCAGAGCCTAAATTATACAAAACACTCAGTAAAGTTCTAGTTTCAATCATGTTTTATCCTTGATTCACTGCCTACTACAAAAGAGTCCAAAATGGGAAGCTACAATAATTTTTAGCTATTCCCTCATGGTTAGAAACACACACACACACACACACACACACACACACACACGCACACACATCAAGCCAGGTATAGTGGTGCACACTTGTAATACCAACTACTCATAAGGAAGAATCAGGAAGATTAAGAATTCAAGGCTTACCTGGGCAAAAAGTAGACTGCTCAAAAACAAAATAAAAGCAAAAGAGCTGGGGTATAATTCAAGTGTAGAGCCCTTGCCTGGCATGTTTTATCTCCAGCAAAAAGGAAAAAAAAAGAATTAAAAAAAGAAAAAATACTAGGTAATAGACATAAGAACAAGTGATAAGTGATGTGTCTGTAACATTTCTGAGTACAGAGAAACAATCTCTACTCCTGAGTAAAAGCTGGATGAAAAACTCTGGATCACTCAGAGATCTCTATTTATGTCTCTGATCACATAGTCAACACAAACACGAAAGCCACTGTTCACCCCTTGAAGCCCTAATCAACAACATGTATTCATTTGTCTGTGTGTGTGTGTGTGTGTCCACATACATGCACACTAGTATTGGGGCTTGAACTCAGAGCCGGGACATGGTACCCTAGCTTTTTCACCCAAGGCTGGTGCTCTACCACTTGAGCCACACCTTCACTTCTGGCTTTTTGCTGGTTAATTAGAGTTACAAGTTTCACAGACTTTGCTATGGGAGCTGGCTATGAACAGTGATCCTCCAATTTCATCTTTTCAAGCAGGATTACAGGTATGAGCCACTAGCACCAGCTAACAACATATATTAATTTGTAGACAGTTAAACAATCTAGGTAACTGGCTGGGCAGCTCTTGTTAAAATGAATGGTCAGCATGCCCAAGGTCCTGGGTTTGATCCTGGAGAATCCAGTCTGTGAGTGTAAGTCTGAATCTCTTTCAATGCTTCTATTATCCTTGAATATTCCCTGACATGGCCCAATGATGGTCTCCCGAAGTCTGGCAAAAGCTTTCTATGGAACTTTCAGGCCAACAGTTGAGAGATCTGTAATATATACACCTAATAATAAACAAAAGAAATAATATATATTTTTCCCTTATTGAAAGTACCTTTAAACAATCTTTCAAACTACTAAGATATCAAACTAGTATCTACCTATAAGCATAGTAATTAGAACTCCTTTAGAAGCCAATACACAGGCTCAATCCACTGGAATGCAACCTCAATGGGGTCTGTCACATAATTTGGCAGAACTATCCTTGCCCTTTATGGTTCCAAAGTCTGGGCTAATAGTACTTTAACCAAGATTTGGGGTTTTAGGTTTCCTCTCTCTTACCCTTCAGACATGACATCACTTGGGCATATTTTTCCTATCAATTAAACTCATAAAATACTTGAGGCCTAAAAAATATGCCAGAAACTTTTCTGACTGTTCCTATAGCCAAAAGAAACAGAGCTGAAACAGTTCAATTCAGATAGCTCAAATGAGAAGTAATGGAAATATGGGAGGTAGGAGTAGATGGAGCGAGACAGGAGAAAAAAAATCCTAACAAAGTTTTTCTATTAAGTGCTGAAATTTAGTTTGTCTATATATTCTACTAGAGCACCAGATAACAGCTAGATTAGCGCCTATAGTCAAATTCTCAGTACTTCTTAGAGGACTTGAAAGAGCTAGCTGTGGGCCCATCAAATAAATAGAAAGTAATTATTAGCTTGAATTCTAGTTTTTTTTCATTATATTCCCTTTGTCAAAAATGATATTTCCATGCTAGGTGCCAGTGGCTCATGCCTGTAATTCTAGCTACTCAAGAGGGTGAGATCTGAGGATTGCTGTTCAAAGCCAGCCCCGGCAGGAAAGTCCATGAGACTCTTCTCTCCAATTAACCACCAGAAAACCAGAAGCGACACTGTGGCTCAAGTGGTAGAGCACTTGAGGTGATGAGCCGAGGGACAGTGCCCAGGCCCAGAGTTCAAGCCCCATGGCTGACAAAAAAAAAAAAAGAAAGAAAAATTATATTTACTACTTAATGGCTAATTAAGCAGGATATATCCCCACACAAAAACTATTCCAGGAATTCATCTTATTCCTGTGACCTTTAAGCCAGAATATTTCAATGTGCAAGCTAAATTATTCCTTCTTTTCATAAACTTTCTATAAATCATTACCAAT